CGAGCAGAAGAGACAAAGGCAGAAGAGAGGCGGGTCGCGCCGAGCGGACCTGACACTTTTGTTGTTATCCCAGTTTCTCTACCCAGTGTTGTCAAGATAGGGTCCATTAGCCTCACCAGTAGTCACTTCAAACAGCCAGCAATGAATGACCTGCCATCAGCTAATGATCTAAAACAGTGCCTGCCAGACTGAATAGGTTGTTCTTTTGCACTGAGAGAGTGGGACAAAGAAGGAGGCTGCATTTTGTACAGTTTGATGCAGCCAGGCATCCGTAGTTTGCGTTGGAAACACAATAGGAGGGGCAAAGAGTGGTAAGGAGTGGAGTATGCTGTGATTACTTTTGAGCATAAGTATATTATTAGAGCTGGAGACGGCCCTGCCACTCAACCATTGAACCAGTTTTTCCAGTGGCCACTCACGGTACTGCAATGCAAAATCCTGTTCTCCATAGACCACAATGATAAAAGAGCCATTTGTAAAACTGTTGACAAGACACCTTGAACAGCAAACCAGGTCAAATATCACTCCATGTATCATGAACTTTTAATCCATGGAGATTTTATATTTGTAAAACCTTCGCAGAGCTTAGAAGACAGATTTATTTTCATGACGTCATCCCATTGTAAAACCTAATGTGGGCCAAACTGGAGTGTGTGAGCAGGGGAAGTGAGGGAAACACTAATGTGCATGTGCACTGAGCCCCACAGTTTAGGAGTCAACCTGAAAGAGAACATTTTTTGAAATATGTACCACCTGGGCGACTTTCACTGGGAGGAATGGGGACCATTTTGTAATCCACTCTCTTGTTCTCTATAATACAGTATGTCCATGGTTTCGACCATCTAGTGGCTAAAAGGAAGTGTGGCAGAGTACAACAGAAGTTGCCTCAGAGGATTTGAAGCACATCCTTAAGTGCTGATAAAAAAATTCAACAAGAAAGCAGAAGTTTTATTGATGCTTAGAGGAGAAAGTGAAGACTGACCTTCCAGAGGCGTACACCTCTGCTGTGTCAAACAGGTTCACTCCATTCTCATAAGCTATGGTCATCAAGCTCTCAGCCATCTGAGGGAATACAAAAATTGAAGCTGAGAGAGGGAAACGGTGGATAAATTCCAATTACAAAGAGGTCATCTGTGAAGGCCACTATGCAGGGAGAATAAAACATTAAAGATACAGGCTATTGTACTCTCTGTAGAAAGCATTTCTATAATTAAAATACTGATATGTATGCTGACAGTGCCATAGTATTTTCCACAAAAAAACAATGTTATTGAGGGTGTTTTGGAGCTGACTTCCCATACAAACAAAGAGACAACCAAGCTCTCACCTCATCAGAGATCTGTGATCCAAATGTCACCCAGGTGCCTGAATGAGAGGAGCGACAGAGACCTTTGGTTTGTTTGGGGGATGAAACAGAGATGAATATTTTTCTGCCATCAAACCAACTCACCTAACCCGAGGCAAGAAACACGGAGGCCTGACTTCCCCAGGTTTCTGTGGAAAAAGGAAAGAAATAAAAAAAACAACGAAAAAGACTGCATAATGTGTGGGCATATAGGCCACATGCACATAGATTCCCATTTTATATACACTGATGTGTGTGAGTAACATGAAAATACTGTAGTTAGTACTGAATAATTAGAGAATTTCTACTTTTACTCAGTTTTGATCTGTCACAAATGACTTGTACATGCAAAAGTAAAAATTCACACATTAAATCTTACATATAAAATTATTATAATACAGTAGATAGGTTGTAAACCAGATGTGCCTAAAACTGAAATATAACACAAAATAAAAACATGATGTTAGTACAGTTTGTTTCCATAGTGTTCCTGGATGTTAATGCTTCCTCTACTAGAGCTGCTACGTGAACATCTTTTTCACCTGAGGTTAAATTGCTTCCTGTGTCTAATTATTTCTGTACAGCTGACCTCTTAACCACATGTTAACAATTCAACATATTACAGCGGGTCAGTGAAACAGCTGGAGGGAACAGAGTTTAGCTCAAATAGAGTCCAGGCAGAAGTTACTTTGACCTGTACAGTGAATGGCTCAAAATGCCCCGTGAGCTGAAGAGGAGGTCATTACCCAATATGCCATGTGTGATTATCCAGACGGCTGAATTCTTAAGGACGAGCACAGGGAAGCAGGGGGCTGCATTTCGGACTACAGGAGCGTGTACAGTACAGTTGAAAATAATGTGTGCTTCTTGCTTTCTCTCCTCCTCCATGCTCCCCCCACCCATTCTAATTAGCCAGGGAGCCAGCTGGAGAGGCAACAAAACTGCAGTGCAACTCACTGCTCACCATCATTTCATCTCCAGCTCCTCTCCTCTCTCTGCCTGCGTCCGCCACAAATAGCCAAATGCAGAAAGACAGACTGTCAGAGCATTCAGACTCAGTCAGGCGACTCTGCTTTTATTTTCTCTGCTCTATTTTAACGTCTAACCTTAAGCTATTTTTGTTTTTCTGCATATGTAAGCATTTGTCACCCTCAGTGTGCATGTGTGCCATGTGGGGGGAGGGGCGTCGCTGTTCACGTGTGGTGTTGTACCCGGTACTTTTTACCATCCTGACTCTGAGAGACGAGACAGTCCAAGTAACTACAAAACAGTGCTGATTTATTCAAAGGATCACAGGTAAAATTAACATTACACGCTCAGGTATCTTCCACCTCCATCCCGCACACAGGCAGATGTAAGATGAAAGACCCTGAACCCGTGTGTAACTAAAAACATTCTCACACGACCTCTAGTAACATGTCGTGTCTTAAACATAAGAACATATTATGGCTAAGGCTACAGTTCTACACGTCATAATAATAATATTAAACACCCTGTCTGCTGACAGTCATCAACTCTTCTCTCTAGTTATCCTTGACCAGATGTACCCTGTAGAAACTCATAAGCATGACTAAGCATTTAACAGTCTAACTAGACATCCTATCTCCACTAAACATTTCTAATACATAAAGTATCTATCCAATATCTATCTGACTAAAAATACCTAACAATTCCCCCTTTCGACACGACCAAAATCGTGTCAACCTAAATCAACGTCCCTTTGTCCCCAGATGCAGCCACCTAGCGTTTCGAGAGGTGAGAGGCCCCCCCTCATGGCCACTCCCTCAAGGGTCAACTACAGAGCCGAGTACTTTAGGGAAAAATGAACTAACAACACAAGAGGCTGGCTAAAAATCTGGCTAAAAATACCTAACAGTGTGAAACTCATTGTTTGTGTCACTTCTTTAGAGCCTGTCACAACAGCACACAGGCAGAAGGTCATGGCTGCTACATAAAGGAATGAAGTGTTAGTGGGATTTGATGTAGTTGATTCTTTGTATAATAATCTGGCTCTGGTTCAGTGTTTGTCAGCCAATGACAGCTCTGCCTGTTCTCACACACTGACAGTCACTTTGAAGACTGGGAGTAAATATAAATGATGCATATGGGAGAAAACACATTTCAGAGACTTTTTCCAAATCTGATATCTTATTTTATGTTTTTCCATTTGTTTTCTTTTACTGGCTTTTTTGTGACCTCCATCGTATTATGTCTTTTTGTCCCAACTTCACTGTGAGGAAGTTAAAAGGAAATTTGGTTGGACCAGTAACAGCATCCTAAAAATATCTCCTGCTGGTTAAAAAAAGGCCTTCCTCAGCTTCACAACAAAAAGAAAAGTCTTCATAAAAATCAGAAGCAGCAGCAGTTACATCTGAACGCCTCCTGCATCTGTCTTCATGCTGAGAGCCTGTCAATTTCATGTCATTATGTTAGAAGACTGGGTGTTTTGGGAGCTTAGTTTTCTTATATCACCTATATTTTGAATATTCAGTGAATTTTAGGAAATGAATTTTGTATGTAAGGCCTTTTAGTTAAACTTGTATCGTTAATAAATGTGAAATAATTACACTAATAAAGCCTAGATCAGCCTTAGTTCCACAAATTACTACATTCATTCAGTGCTTTCCTTTTAAACATTTTCCATGATGAAAAACAGAAAATCTCTGTATTACAAATACAAAACATGAGTCAGCATCCAGTAGCATCCGCAACTGCTTTTCTTTTTCACTGTGCTTATATTGAACATTCTGTTTAAAGGTAGAAACATATTTGATAACACCGGGTATGAGCACATCAGGCAAACCAGCAAGCATGACTGCGTGAATTCCATGACTAATGTTCCACATTAAATATTTTTCTTTGTTTGTATCTGGGCAGCGGAGGATGTCATTGTTTGTGTGTGTAACAACTGGCTGCCCCCTCCCCGCTCTCAACTCCACTGCTCTCTGCAGTGCAGCAGTCTGCTAAATTACTATCAGTGAGTCTGGAGAGACGCTTTCCTCTCACTACCTCCCTCGTGACAGCGTTTCTGTCACACTCTCTCTTACACACACATGCTTTGCTTATAATTATGTAGAAGCTTTGCTTATAATTCACATGATATAGTTTTGGCAGACGTAATGCTGATGGGATCGATACTGTGTGAGTGTCAGTAGGGCCGGCTGATGCTTTCACATGAATATTCAGGGTTGATGGGAATTTCACTCAAACACAGGCACAGATCTGCATATGGCCACGCATGAATGCACTTCTGAACGGTGCAGAGAAACACAGATGCTGCTCTGCAGCCTTATTAAGTAGAGCTTCCCATGTTTACTTGTCTGTTTCTTTTTCTCATCATAAAACGTAACAAGGTGATTATAAGGACTTGGCTGTTCCATACAATGTTAACAGTAAGAGAAAGGCAGCGCCAGGTACGCTGTCACGGTGTAGTCAGCATTTTAACCTGTGCTGACATTTACAGTTAGTTTCCACCTGAGACAGGAGGACGATGGTTAGGTGCAAATGATGGAGGCTTTTTTTCCTGCAAAAAATGTCAAAAAAATGCCACACACATGCTGAGCAGGCTTTTCTCCAGAGGAAGCACACCTAGATATTAATAACACTCATACGAGTGTGTGTGTGTGCCTGGCATTTCTCACACTGTGGGGACTGAATGTCACTGAATAATAGAGTGACAACATGATGTAAGGTTAAGCTGTGGCTGAGGTTAGGTTACAGTTAGGGCAAGTAGGGATCATAGTTAAGGTCTCTGTGAGTTTCCAGGAAATGAATGTGCCAGTGTGAAGTCCTGACAAAGGATGCAAGCAAACGTGTATGGGTGTGTGTGTGCACATGCTTGTACATGCACTTTCTGAGCACAAACTGTGGGAAGATGGTTACTGTCTGTTCTCTTTTTAATAATGCTGCACACTGTTCACCCCGAATACAAGGAACATATTTTCTCACCAATGCAGAGATTTCTGCCTCCAGCTCAATACAATTAAGTAAATTAACATGTATTCATTTATATTTGTGGATCTCACAACATTGAGAAATTGCAGTTTTTTAAAATATCAGCACCAACTTCTCTTTTATAATGTGTCCTTGTTCCACTGGATAATCCATGGACCTGTTAACAGTCTGCAAAGAGACTGTTTCTCAAATTGAAAGCTGTTTCACTGAAAAGCGAGGAAGTCTGATGATTATCCAGAGTATTAAGGACGCTGTTTCCCTTGCAGCAGGATTTATAATATATATATATATATATATATATATATATGCATTTTTCAATACTGTGCACACAGAGCGCAAAGCTTTGAGAGAGAAACTTGGGCAAATATTTACAAAACAATGTGCATGGCTAGATACTATAAGCGAGTAAATGTTTTTATGTGTGAACCGGCCCTTTAACTCAGGGTGTAATTCTGACAGTGTATTATTTGCTTCATCTATTATGAATGAAACAAATGTTAAACAACAAACTTTTCATGTAATGGGGTGTGTTAAAAATTCACTTCAAATGAAGTGGCACAACTAAGAGATCACACCAGCTCATGTTAAAATTGTGAACCATTAAATGATGAGGGTCTGTTTTTCTATTCAAAAGTTGGGACTGGACATGAGGATATGTGTAGCACTTCGTACACTGGCACAGGCTATGTTGTGAAGGGGAATTGGATGCAAAATGTGATTTTAAGGCAAACAAAGTGTCCATGAAATCTGAATTTTTAGCCACTGCAACATGTCCTGAGGGGGTTTAATAATGAAATTCAGCGTTTGAAAAGGTCAGTGCACTGTGCTGCTACCTGCTGACCTATTTTGTCTCTGCTGGGAGAAGGATGAAGATGAATACTGAAATGATGTGTCAGTTTCTGGATCTGCTGCCTCATAAATACAGACTTTGACAGCTCGGGGAATTTAAAAACAACTAAATGTAGTCACTAAGGTGTTTTTGAGTATCACAGCACGCCTCGGTTTGCCAAGGTTCTCTTATTTATTTTAATTTAAAACATCTCAGGTGGGCCCCAGTGAATTAAGTAGTAGCCTTTGTTGAAATGCTGAAATTACCTTTATAGTTTACACAACTAAACATCCATTGGAGCTTTAAAGCCACTTGGAAACTGTTAGACTATTTCAACACATTTCTTTATTTTTCCCTCAGTGACTTTATTTTGAAATGTAAAAAATAAGAGTTCAAATGTAACTGCCGAACAATTCAGTGAAACAGCATAATTTTTGTTATTTATCTTATTATCTACTTATGTAAATAATCTGTCAGGACAGTCTTACCACTGCACCAAAATGAATTTTAATTAAAAGTATATGTATTAGCAGCAGGTATTTAAATACTGAGATCTTGAGGCTGTGTTTCTGCTGCTACATAATGGCACGCAATGATGTCAGAGCCTGCTTTCCGGCCTTGTTCATGGTGCTTCATGTTAGCCTACTGATTGCTGATGCCATCGCATGTGTCCATGGGCACACATTGACAGATGTTAAGTCTCTTCAAACACCACTGACCCCGCAGTCACTTCATGTTTTGTAAAGATTAAGTTATCTGCTCTGTGAGCTTTTCTGTAAACAAGTTTTAAAATCTAGTAAAGACTTCCAACTGGCAGCGACAAACTATTGTTCATTATTTATAATTATAACATTCAGCAACCTGTTTATGTATTAGTAGGTGGCAGATGAAATACACAGCCAGATCTTTGCAGTTTAGCAGCCAAAAACAGAACATAATTTGGATATATTTTGTTCTTGAGCCAGACTGAAATCAATCAAGTGAAGATAGAGTGTGATTTTGTCTAAAACTTGTTGCAGAAGCACAGAGCGATGTCACTAATCTGCTCAGTGTACTGATAATGTGACAAAAATCCAGAGTTGAAGGTCACGGTTGTCTGGTTTTCCTACCTGCTATCCAAACCATTTGTTTCCAATAATTACTTATCAAGATAAAAATATAAGGTCAAGATACTGAATTACTGTTCATGATGGTTGCACTCTATGAAATGAATACTTTTAACTGCTTGGGATCTAAATACATATGGTGTCCATAGGGTTTTATAAAATTGTGAGTAGTCTGCTAGCAAATTCTATGTATTGGGCAACTACATTAAACTTAACGTAAAATGCCTCGGATCAAAAGAACAACTGTGCCCTCAGCGTAGAAGAAGTACCTGGAATAATGTGCAGACTGCGAGAGTAATGGCACTGGAGCCGGATTAATGTCTCATAGCACTAAATGACCAGACTATATCTGTAAAACCTGACAGGGTTGTTCATCAGTGGCTCAGTCATTACTTCATCAGCTGCTGAGAGTCCTGGCTTTCAGAACTCATTGTTCAAGTGTACTCTTTTAGAGAGCAGCACCTCTCTGCATAACTGAATGTCAGGACTCTTCAAATCCAAATGCAAATACATAAGCCTTGTTCTCCAGCAAAACATGCAACAGAATATTCAGTATTATTATTGGTTTTATATCACTGGACATTTATGAACTGCTTTAACTGCTGCCCGTTATTTCATTCATGTTAAAATTGTACTTTGGAATTGAATTTTACTGTGTTTATCTTTTATTTGTTGGCTTAGGTCGGTTACAAGAATGGAGGTTTTGCTGTTAGTCTAAAAGGACTTCTTTGGCAGGACAAGAAGAGACTTGGTCTATCCAAGGTCACTGAACTGTTTAACATTAGAGGTCAAATGAGAAGATTAATAACACTCAGATCTGTCCATTAAATATGAAGCTACAACCAACAGCTGGTATAAAGAGTGGGAAAAGGGGGGGAGCAGCTATCCCGGCACTGCAACAAAATCTGCCTACAGCACCTCTAAAACTATCTAAACACACCGTGTTTCACCTGTTTGAAGCTGAAGTGGTCAGTCATGTGTTAAGCTAAGCTAACCAGCTACTAGCTTTACATTTACTGTACAGGAGTGGTAGGATCTTTTCACTCTTATCAAGCAAACAAAATCTTAATTCCCAAAATGTTTTGCTAATCTTTATGAGCTAAATTCACTTCATAGAACCAAAATATTGCCAGGAGTTTATCTGTCCTCCCTGAGGACACAGGGAGGACAGATTTAGAAGCAGCAAAAATTACTACACACATTCTTCTCTCATCATCCCTGAACTCGCCCATGTTGCTCTGCTGTCCTAGAAATGGCCTTAGACCCTTCAGTCAACATTTTTTAAATGCTTGGCTGTTTAGCAATATTTCACTCTCTTCCTAGTGTTGAATGTTGTATGTAGGTATAGCTGATCCCTCATAACGACCGCTGCCTGCCACTGACACAATGCACCCTGTGGCCAATGGTTTACAAAACACCATGGGAATTGTCCAACGATGGCTGATAAATCTATGCTGCAAATGCACCTGACCTGCTTACCGGGTTGCTGTTGGTGAAAAGACGGGACCTGGTTACCATAGAAACAGCCAATTTGCTGAGCGACACAACTTTTCCTGAGTGACTTCTGGACTCACCCTACCATAAGTCCCAAAAAAAGACTATCACTACTGTTCTTAAAACTTGTAGAAAATCGTCAAATACCCAACATAGTTATGCAAACATACAGTAAATTATTCTTTTAGGTCTAAATCTGTGCTTATCTAGGTTTAAGGGATTCATGTTCAAAAGCTGAAATCAGAGAATGTGAAATCTGACTATATGAATGCACACTCTAAGATTTCTAACAGATCTTCTCTAGAGACATAAATAGCAGTAAATATAGTCACAGACAATCCCTGACAATAGCCATTTCGTTATTTATATAATCTGCTTTTTTCGTTATCTTATGAACTACACACAAGCACACATTTTCAACTTAACAAGTGGAAAGGGGAACATTTTAAAGAAAATTTGTCAGAAATTCAGAAACTTTGATCAAAGAAAAGGAGATAAAGCGACAGTAGGCGCTCAGGGGATTGATAGCTGGCAGCAGGTGCCATTGTCTGTGACCTGCCAATAAGTGATGAACCCTCAGGTTAATGGGATTGGAGGGGGTTAAGAAAAGACACGGTCAAACGACAAAAATTGGCAACGACAGCTGTAAGACTGTTTCTTCCTGGCCTCGGTCAGAGATGGGCGGCAGCGTAAAGAGAATGTGGAGAACGTGTGACAACTGTGCTGCCACAAACAAACTCTGTGGCCGGGTGGTGCGGCTTTGAGCGCACTCCTGTTACAGAAGGGACTGATAAGGAACAGCAGTGCTGGCAGATTAGGAACTAAGATAGACAAAAACTAAAGGCAATGTCTAGGGTGTTGCCACTGGCAACTGGAGATGGCCATATGCTGTATAGGCTTATTGTGCCACTGCACTCCCTATTAATGACACTTTTCCAGGGACAGCACAGCAACCAGAACAGTCCAGTCCAATCCAATCAGAGGTATGAATGCAATTCTCAGGGAAGAAAAAACAATTATTGAGATATCTAGGTTTCGTCTTGTGCCTCATTCCCTTTTTAAACATCCTATTAAATGAAAAGCTAAATTGGCTGAAGAGAATGGTGGCGATTCAATCAACCTGGTTAACAGGAAAACAGGTCATTAAAACTTTCCTCCTGCAGTATTATAGTCAAAATGACAGAGACAGATGGCACAAGGTTGTGGTCCTATTGATTATGGATAGTGTGAAGTGCATGTTGTGTGATTTTATATACACATTTATATAAGTATGCATTATTTTCCACTAGTCTCCGAAGCCCTGCGAGAGTGGAGACTGGCTCAGTTGTCCTTGTCAAGTTGAAGCTCTAATCCATCAAGGTGAACTGTATCTGATTCTGTGCCAAAACCTCCAAGATAAAAAAGACAAATGACACTTTTCTTGCATTTATACAGTATCTGGTCTATTTTTCTATGCTACAGTATGACTCAGACCTGGGGTGTGCAGCAGTAGTTTTCTGCGCACAAGATACTTTGCTGCAACAATATTTTATAAAAATGAAACGCTTTAAAAACCTCAAAGAAAAGCTTGGTGTCCAGGGGTGATTTTTAGGGAAGCTGTTGTTGGAGCGCAGTGTAAGTGGCCATGGTGAAATCTGCATAAAGCACATAAGACAATGCCAGCGCTCCTATATGCAGGCTGTCTGTTATACTGTGATGACATTATGGCTTGGTTTGGTATGGATTATATAAGCATTTTACATCCATCAGTGGAAGCGTTTTGAGGAGTAAATGTCATATTTCTCCTAATGCCAGTGAAATCGCTGCTGCACGTTCACTCACTGAAGTGCTTTCATCTTTGCTAATGGATATGGAGGTAGCCTGCACAGGATATTATAGAATGCATGCTGGTGACAATTCAGTCTAACCTCATATTCACTTCACATCAAAACAAAGAGACAAACAAAGAAAGCCTAAGTGGTAAAGCTTTGTGAAGACAGAAGGCCCCCATCACATGACCTGCCACCTCTTGTCTTGTGGAGGATTTTCCACTGAAGCTCATCATACACTGATGAGCCAAAACATCATCAGCATGGTCATAATGTTTTGGCTCACCTCATCTGGAGGTCAAAAGGCTGTAATATTCAAAACCATCTGAGTCGAGTTTTCTGATATAAATTAAACCTCCACCCTTGAAGCTCCAGCTCCCCATGTCCTCACTGGGCCCATACTCACCTGTACTTCATACTGCTGTGGCGCCCAATGGCCTCCTTCATGTGGGCGTGACCCTGTGGAGTGTGACGGGACCCTGGCCCCTCCCTGATCTTGACAGAGCCTTGAGAGATGTAGTTGCCATTACTCCCTGGTCCACTACCTCCTCCTCCTCCTCCTCCTCCTCCACTACCACCACCACCACCACCTCCTCCTCCCCCTACTCCTCCACTGCTTCCTCCAGGAGGTGGAGCAGTGCGAAGGCCACAGAGCCGGTCCTCACTGCGACTCTTGAGGTTGTGCTCAGTGCAGGCGAAGGACACCTGCATCCTGACCCTGGTTTCCGGTGTTTCTTATTTTGAGAGCTGGTGGGTGGTGTGAGGGGGAGCCTTTTTATAAAGTCACACAAACAATAATGTCTGCAAATTGTTGGTGCTGCTTGACACTGTTGTGGCAAAGCAGTGATGCTCATACAAAGGGCTCAGACTGGGCAGGTCAGAGATTTTGTCTCAGAGTTGAAGGGAGCGGGCAAGAGTCCAGCCTCTAACATGACACACACAGAGTTACCGTCTGCTCTGTCTCCTGTCTGGTGGTGCAAACCTGGCAAAAGGCGCTCAGAGTTTTCACACTCACAAGATGCATCGAGGCTACCCTCCAAAAATCATCAGGAAGCGTGTAGGCTCACAGCGGCACTCAGACGGATTTGGGGATGTGGCAGGTCTTGGGACGCCCCCCAAAAACCTCAGTGCAATAGATGCCTCCCTTGAGAGTGTCAGCTCGGCCTTTTCCCACATACATGCACAGGCTCGTATGGCTTATGTTGGGTGGTAAAGCACTTGCCAGCTTGCTGTCTTGTCTTCAGCTGAGGTTAGTTGTGCTGAGCTGAGCAGCTCCGGAGTGTGCCGCAGCAATGACACCGTCACAGTTACAGGCATCCTCGCACCTCTCGTCGAAACAAGGCATATTTTTGTCGCTAGGCGGGTCAGCGAAAACTCAGTTGCTCGAATTTACATTGCTGAACGAGTATATGGACAGGGTGCGAATTCACACAGTCCAACCCCAGCGATGCATTATCGCCCAGCTGCCTCAAATCGATGCATTAGAGAGAGCGAGGAAAGAGAAGCACAAACAAATTCAGGAGCAGACACAGAACCGGCTTGTATTGCCTTCAGTGTGTTAAGTCGTTCACATACCGGCGGCTGCAGCAATTGTTCCGTCCTGTTCTACGAGAAAATTTCACGATGCACGGATTTGAAAAAAATGCCGGCATACTGGCCCAAGAATCAGCCGCATCAAACATTTGAAACGCTCGGCGCCGCGTCTTGGTGCCCGGTCAGCACCGTTCTGTCAGTCCGGAGTCCCACTTTGTGTTTTTTCTTATTATTCCTTATTGCCAAAGGCTCAAAAATGTTCACGACACATAGGCAATGTGTTGGTTTGCAAGATGCTCTCCCTCTCTCTCTCTCTCTCTCTCTCTCTCTCTCTCTCTCTGTCTCCCCCCCATCTCTGCGTTTCATTTACACACTATTAGATTCTGAGAAAGTAAAAGAACATTTTAAAGCAGGTTATATATTAACACGCAAAAAGCCTGATTTTACACTAATTATTTCCACTTAATATTCACACATGGCCTCCTCCTTTGTCGGAATATCTCTCTCTCATATCTTTCACCACACCCATGCTTCCATGTCTAAGAAAAAGTATTTTCACTTGATCTACTTTATATCTATATGATCAGTAGCCCAAATTAGGCTATACAAAACTCTGCACACCATCTTCTCAGAACAAAAAGCTGATAGATAGCCTGTAATTCACATCACATCTTAACCAGGGGCGTATTAGGAAACGTTTGCGTGGGGTGGCCAGGCCAGAGAGAGGTGGCACATTTGAAGAACATGTAAAAAGTCAATTGAATCCCTATTTCTATGAAATAATAAGCCATACATGATGAAGAATCCATTTGTTTGAAACACAGTGCTTTTTTTGGCTACCTTTGGCCACACTCCTTGTTTACTCCTGGTCAGGGACATCACAGTGCCACCCCTGGCCACCCCCTGGATCTGCCTGTGATCATAACAAAGCACAGCATATCATATTGCCTCACATCATATCAAACTGATGTGTCTTCTGGTGGTCAGGCAATGGCTCCTTCCAGGCTCTGTTTACAGTCTAAACTATGCTGCCGTATCCTAAGAGAAGGCTGAGGGTCCACAAAGTTTAACTCAGTACTCAGGGTGTGTTCTGCTGCTCACAGCAAAATATCTCACTCATGCAAATAAAAATGCAGACACAGACACAAACTGTGCAAACATTCATCATTTCTGTCAGTTTGTTTTCTTGTCTAATAAAATCTTGCTTTAGAGCAATCTGCAGTCCCAGGATGATCCTGGAGCAGACTGCGTGGCGTTCAGCTGCCAGCAGAATGTAACTCTGAGTTGGCAATCAGCTCTTTTTAAAGAGCTATTCAGTACGGGATGGGGAAGTTTCCAGTTGTATAGGCAGAAAGAAAATGAGAGTGCCACCCAGTGTGACGTTTTAAAAGATGAGGTTTAGTGATCTCCTGTCTTGTTAAGGCACTGTGAGCACATATATTTGGATGTGGCAGCCACAGTCAGCTTCCAAAGAATCAACTTATTCTGAATATCCAAACCTCCACATAATCACTTCCTCCACACATAGACCTTCACCTTCATTGCAAATAATGGAAAAACTGTTGCCATGTCTTTACATCTATTGACTTTTCTGCAAACCACTTGGTATTAAATTGAGATCTCGGGAAATGGAGAGCTTGATGAACATCTTTCTTATGTAGATGCTTTTATATAACAGATTGTAGAATGAAGCTTTTCCTGAAGCTGTGGAGAAATTATATGACACAAACTCAAGCACCAAATGTCATTATAAAAACATGTCCTCCATAAAAGCCCAAGCCTCCATCATAAATAAAATACTCAAGCTCATTTACATACTGCTTTCCTGAGCTGATGTGCAGCTGATGTGGCTACGTTTTCATTTAAAAACATAAAAAACTGGTGGATATAACTGTGTAGTTACATGTTGTTGTTGTTCTGGTAGCTGCAGAGATGCTAGCAAGTGGTTTTGACAGAAATAAAGAATGCAGAGAGTTGTTTGTGCTGTGCCTCTTGATGTTATACACATGTGAACTGTCCTCACTAAACTGTAGCACTGAAATTTTCCCTTAGACATCATAATTTTTTTGTGGCTTTCTTTGACATTAAAATGATTCAGCCTTGCATTAATTTGTCAAAAAAGCTGTCAAAGAACAGCTATTAAATGCTTTTAGTGGAATTGCTTTAGCTTTAAAATGTAGACTCCATCTGACAAACTGTAATATATTTAAATATGTTTCTCCTTTAAGCCTTATTGTATTGAAAGATAAGATTGGCCATTCATGCCTTGTTATTTGTTTGTCAGAAAATGAGTATCTATCTTACTTTCTCAAATTTGCTCTGCACTTAGAGGATCAGCGCATATGGAAAATTTGTTTTTCCAGAAAAACCAGCAAATCAGAAAGAATGCCAAGGTTGATGGTCTCTGTTGTGTTGAATACAGGCCATCGCTTTCAGTCACAAGGAAGCTTAAATCTGGTGCATCATTACACAAATGTACTAAGGCTAACATATCAAACAGAGAAGCTGTAGCTGCTTAAAGGTATTGAATGTAAGGAGCCCCTCCAGTGCTGCCAGAAGTACAGGAAGCAGCTGAATCAGACTTTGATGTGGTACATTTATTTCATTTATCAAATGTATGCTATTTGTAAGGTAGGTTCTAGATCAGAGGGCAAACTTTCTGAAACTGCAAGTGTCACTTGTTCATAGTAATGATACGTTTTGGTTCTTTTTCTGGTTTTAAGTCATTGTGCTACAGGGCTGATTGGTCTTCTCACCAGGGTGATGCTGCCCCCTGCAGGCAGCTTTGCTGGACTCCTAATGACTGTGTGAGTCTGTTCTGGCTGCAGGGTGTTAAATAAAATGTCATTTTGTGTCTTAACAGCCCTGTCCTCTAAAAATAATATTTATATACATATTATTTCTCAAAGGCCAGTACATCATGAATGGCATTCATAAATAAACTATCGATTCTCTTACATGCACACAAATCTGCAACAGTATATGTGAGTCATTTCTTCACCTTCTGTGGTTATGCTGTAAAGTATGTCCTCTTTTTATGTTGTTACAGTTTTTTCAGACAGTGGATTCATGGTTCAACATAGCCTTAAAGCCCCACCCTGACCCCCACCGCTGAAGTTGATCCCATCACTCTGTCTTTTAGATGTTGATTACAGACAGCGGATGACGTACTAGTCATTGACATCAGTGGTCCTGAGCATTCAGACATTTCTGCAGCTCAGTCACATTTATTCAGCACTGCTGTGCTTTGAAATCTCATCAAATGCTTGGTATTTCTTTCTAGGTCACTGGTTTAAAAAAAAGGATAGCAAATACCATTTTTGTTTTATCCATGAATGATGTTTCAATTTGCTGCCTTCAATTGCAGCCGTCTGCATACACTCAAGTACCTTCACGCATTAGTAATATATTAGAAAAGTATTAAATGTTATTTGTGTAAATGGATCATCCACAGCTGGCTGCCTGCTCAGGATGGTCTGACCTTCTCTCTTCCTGACTCTCTGCAATATCTACTAGTTTATCCTGTGTTTCCTTCTTAGAAGCAGAATAAAATCAAACTACATATAAATTCTGGAGGTTTATCAGTTTCACACATTTGTATGTTGCTATTTGTCAATATATGCCTAATTCTTTTAATGTGACCTCTTGAATGTGCAGGTTTAAGAGAAAAGATGTTTTTAGGTTGGCTCTTTCATTATTGAAATGTTTTTAACTTCAAAAACCTAATTGGATTGAGATTTCACACCGAGTCAGATCTAATTATGGACTACATCATTCTTCTCTCCTGTCTCTTCCTCTGTTTCCATCCATCCATTATCTACATTATCCTCCTTCTCTCTCACCTGTATATCATTGCAGAGCGTTCAGCCTCACACTCAGCCAAAGAAATGCCACATTCTCTTAAATAGAGCTCCAATCGTCGTCGCTCCACCAGCCTATGTGCCGCCTCCACAATCTGAGAAGCCAGGGCCTCTGACTCAGTCCTCTGGTCTGGGGTCTTGCTGCTCCGGCCTCCAGATTTGGCCGCAATACTTCCTGAGGAGCATGATGCCTTGGGCTTTTTACTGATGCCATAAATGTCTTCTACTGAATATTTCCCTCCCTTACCTCCTCCACTACCACCACGACTGGCAAACATGATCTGCAATCAAGTGTTAGAACTGATAAAATCTGTTCTTCTCTTTAGCTCTGTTTTACCTGCTACATCTACTTGAGGAGAAAGCAGCTTCTGAGTAAGACACACAACAACAAGGCAGTGCTATTTTGATAGAGATCCTGAAGATTTGAAACATCCAGCCCAAGGATGTCAGACTTCAAACTGCTGGAAGAAAACTGTAAAATATCAAAAAGTCTTGATTGCTCCTTTGTGGAGTCTGAATCCAAAACATAACAAAGCTAGTTCCATGTCATCAGCAGCAGCCAGTCATAAACAATGACTCCTGCTGATGTGAGGTGCTTCTTTGAGTAAAAATGAATAGAAAAAGCAATCAGCATCTTTCTCTCTTTATCTCTCAAAGGAGGGACAGTGTGGGATTTGTGTTGAAGCCCTGCCAGCTTACATTTGTACAGATTAATAGAGCACCCGGATGAAGTATTCGTCCTTCTGTGGCTGCTTCATAATCCTGAATCAGTGGTGAGAGTTTAGCTCTCTGACCTTTTCTTCAAACACCGAGTGGTAATGATTTTTTTTCACCTACATGGACAATTGATCAGTTGATCTGCATGGGGCTATGTCATCATAGCCAACTCTCTCGCTGCCTTCCAGCTCCTGTTGGCTCTAACAAAGGGAAAGCGGCAGCCTCTCAAAGCCTGGCACCAGCTTCAGGCCAGTGCTGAGTACTGTTGTCGGGGTCTGGGTTAATGTGCAAGCCAAACCCCCAGTGCCTGTTTTTCACACAAACCACAAAGAAGCATAGTGTGTGTGAATCCATTTCCACTAGAGGGGAAAGTCAAATCTCTTCCCACCGAAGAAAAGGAATGAGCATCACCACATCTGAAATAAAGACAGACAGAAATAATATGGAGGCACTGGAGGTTACAGTTTTGAAATATGTTGATGGATGTTAAGACCAGTTTAACAAACTGAATGATTATTTTTTTTACATAGAAATAATTAATTGACATTGTCCTACCATGAAACAACACCAGGAGAGAGTCATATTTTTAAAATAGTGAAAAATCTTTGCACACTTGCTCACAAGTGACATACAGAGGGTTAAAGCTACAGTATATAACTTTAAAAAATATATTTTTGTTATAGAAACATGCTCCAAAACCTGTCTTAATGTGGAGAGGTGCTGTCG